ATATATATATATATATATATATATATATATATATAGTCTTAAAAATAAAATAATTGAGAAAAGCAAACACAAAAGATGCCAATTCTGTTGTCCTGGTACACAGTTTCACTTTGGGTCCTATTTCATTCCTGTCTACAATAAATTTATGAATACCTGTGTTATTATTTAAATTCATTTGTACTCTTCTTTTCACTAAAATACATTTTTAAAAAACTCTTTATGTTGTGTTTTTTTTTATTTTGATTTTTACTGTAAGTCTGGCTAAATGTGATATAATAGTTTTAAATAATATGTGCAAAGTAAGTAGTTCATTGCTTTTAAATTCAGCAGCACTAATTTTTAAGACACTATTTAGCAGATTGTATCCAGATTCTTATAGTTAGAATTTATCATCCAGGAGATAAATAGTCTTTTTTTTTTGCCTCTGAAGACTCATTAGCAAAGTCTTTGTGCCTAAGTTTTATCAGTTGTCTGTCTCTGTCACGTTTACCAGCCCACTAAATACTACTTTATTCATTCTGGAGCTTCTCTAGCCTGAAACTCCAAATTCTTCCATATTTTTTGGAAAACTAATTCTAAATCTCTATGGCCCACATGGTTTTGTTTACCCTGACAATATTCTTATTTTTATACTTTTTTGTATTTTGTATTGTAATTTCTATATTAGTTTATTTTCTCATTTATGATTGAAGGAACTCATTGCAGCAAAAATTCATGCTGACTCCCATTGCCATAAAGCATGCAAAGTTCAAGGCAGAAGGGTATAGCTGGGAGCAGCTTCAATTCCTGGTAGATCAAAAAAATCATTAAACCAGAAGCAGGAGTAAGTTATAAATACAAATTCAAGGACTGGTCAAACTGTCTATCTTTGCCTGGCATGCCTTTGCTCAGAAATGTTCTACAACTTTTTAAAACATCAGCTAGAGACTATGTATTGAAACACATAACTCTGTACAGGACAGACAGGTGCAAGGATAGATAGATAGATAGATAGATAGATAGATAGATAGATAGATTGATAGATAGATAGATGATAGATAGATACATAGATAGATAGATACATAGATAGATACATAGATACATAGATAGATAGATACGTAGATACATAGATACATAGATAGATGATAAATAGATAAATAATGGACAGCAGACAGGTAGAAGGATAAATGGATGATAGATAGATAGATAGATAGATAGATAGATAGATAGAGAAAGATAGATAGATAGATAGATAGATAGATAGATAGATAAATGATAAAGGATAGACAGATAATAGGTACATGATAAATAGACCTAGTTATATATTTTAGTTAGATATATAGGAAGTAGATAGTATAATAGAGATCTATGGTAAACAGATTTATGATAGATATAATCTAGATGGTAGGTAGATGCAGTTCATAGCAGATGACAGAGAGATAGATAATAAATCAAAACTTTCATTTAATTCATTTTTTTATTTGTCAACTCAACTCCAAATATCAGAATAAGTTTTAAAATATGATACCTGCATAAAATATAATTACTCATATTTTCATATTTAGGGATATAATGAATACACTAAAATTAAAGTTTCAGTTTTAGATATCAGAAATAGTAACATAAGCCATATTTAAAAAATGTGTTGATACAGCTGCAGAAACAAGCCTTGGGAAGATAAAAGCCAGTGTTCTGGAAGACATGGCACCTTGACTATGAAACTGGATTTCTTATGAGAGAGTAGAACAAAGCCTGCCAGAGATTACACATAACTAAGTGATTACAGCCTGTTTCTTCATCTGACTGCAACTGTTTCATCATGAAGCTACTATGAAATGACCTGGGTGTGTGCCTCTGTCTTGGATCACTCAGGGACTGTGACACTCCAAACAATTACATACCATAGAATAAAAGGAAGGACACTATTACTGGTACAGTAGAAAAGGAGAAGGAATAATGACTATTTCTTAAGAACCAAATTCTAGGAATAAAATTCAATTAAATTAAGCTGTGCTCTCTTTAAATTGTAATTATATTGTGATACATACAGTTTATATAAACATTTTCACTCAGAGCTGCTAGACATAATTTAAATTGCCTTTGAATTACTCTCATTCATTTTGCTAGAATTTCTTCAGCCTTACGCATTTCTAGTCACTCTATGATTCTATACTTTTCTTTAGCTTTATTTTGTTTCTATTTTAAGTATAAGTCATAAAAAAGCTGAAAGAAAATGACAAACAATAATTAGTTGATCGCAAAATACCTACTATCTTTCAAAGACTCAATTAGGAATATGCTTTCCTCTGGAGACTGCACTCTGATGTATAATAGAATGTATTATAGATGATTAATAGAGCCACAGGAGAAGGCTATGGTTCCCATGAAGTCTGATGGGAACAGAAGACATTTTCCAAATACGTTCTACAGAGTTTTTAAATTTTTATCTTTAGATTTTATTTTACTTTGCATGTATGAAATCTGTCCTTGCATATATCTACATGTACCACATTCATGACTGCTAAATACCCTGCACACAGGGTTATAGATGGTTGTAAGACACCATGCACGTGCTGCGAATCAAACCTGGGTCCTCTGAAAGAGCAACAAGTGCTGTCACCTTCTCCAGCCCTTTACAGATTTATAACCTGTAAATTTTATTTATGAAGCATATATTGATAAGGCCTAGGAATACAATATATGTCCTAGGAACAACAAATGTAGACATGTGGGACGCTGTGCATGTAGACATTGACAGAGGCTGAGAAACATTGGCAAGTAACTTCATTACTGCTTTTACAGTTATAACTGCTGTACACGGAAATAAAATTGTTATTCAGTTATCTGTTTGCTCAACTAAAAGACACTATTGGAAACCCATGGGGAAATTAGATGTAATATAATTTAATGCATTTCTTTATGTTTTTCAGCTCTTTTCCTCATTGTGATGGTCAGGGACAGTCACTTTCAGTATTAATGTCTGTTTTAGCCTCTTTAAATCTGTGTCTTCATTTCATCTGTGAGTTGGAGGTGATGGGAAGAAGGTGGTGTGTACACTCCTGATTTTTCCTGAAACAAATACGTGTTTGGCTTTTGTTAAGGATGTGTTTCTTTGACTGGATAGATGGCTCCAAGTTAGGAGTATAACTGAGCTTGAGGGCTTGAGATTGATCCTTTGGACCCACATGATTGCTCCTAACCATCTGTGGCTCAAGTTTCCAGGGATCTCAATGTTCCTTTCAGACTGTTCAGGTACCAGTTGTGCATGTGATACATGGGCACACGTGTTTTGTATTGAATCAAGTTACCAGATGACTGATTGCGTAGATATCATAATGATAAAAACAGCATGTTTTACTCTTCACATCCCCAAAGGAAATTACCCCAGAGCAGAGATTGGGACCATTTGTTATCTGCTATCTTCTAAGTGTATCAAAGACATTGATGAGAGTGTAAGAGTATTATTCTTTATTTTATTTTATTTTTATTGCTTTATAAATAATATCATTCAAAACTTCCACTTCCATCCTCGCACTCCCCCACTCACCCTCTCCCATCCCCTCCAGTCCTAAGAGAAGGCAGGGTACCCTGTCTATCTTAAACAGGTAAGATTTTTAATTTGCCCTAAAGTCACTGAATCAAAAAAGGCACACAATAAAATATTTCTTTACAGCCCCCAATGAAAAGAAAAAAAATATTTATAGGAAAAAATGTTTTCATACTTGAGATGAAACAATATAAACTCAAAATGTACAGGTAAGGGTTAGCTCTATCACTCATCTTTTAAAAGTTTATATGAGTAACTGGTCAAAGCCAACAGGGTATCTCTCTCGAAGTGTTATCTATATGGATTCCAAGTAAAGTGTTATCTATATGGATTCCAAGTAGACCACATAGTTACATACTATATTGGAATGTCCTCACAAGGCTCTGTCACAGAACAGGTAACAGAGAAAACCCCAGAGCCCTTAATTTCAAACAAAAAGGAAACAAGTGGGGTTGAAGAAACTGTTCAAACTTCATTTTAGTTCCTGGCGACTTGAAGTTTCTCCCTTGTCCTCTACCACCTGGGAATAAATCCTCCTCTACTTCCAAAGTCTTATGGCTTGTGCTAGCAAACTTCCCTATTCCTCCTTGACCCCCTACCTCAGCCTCCAAAACCTCCTCTTCCTCTACCTAGACAACCAAAGTCACCTTCACCCTTATGTCTGGCCAGTCTCATGTTTGTCTCCATCTTCTGTAGCCTCCTTGGCAGCTTTTGTGTCTTCCCCACTATTGAACTCCACAAAGTCAAACTCTTTGGATGAACCAGTTTCCCAATCAGTGACTATTCTTGTTTGAACAGAACCCTTAAATGATACTTTAAAGGTCTCTTTAGGGGCATCTTCTGACAGACCTTTGACAAACAGAGGTTTGGGTGGCTGACTTCTTACAATAGGCAATAGGTTCCTTGTAACTCCATTCTGATTCTTTTGCCCTTAATTTCCAATTTTTTTTTTCCAAAAGTTTATAGATTCTTTAGCATCTTCAAATGAAGCAAATTCTATAAATGTGTGCCCTTTAAATTTGCTCTTTGAGTTATGGGCACTTTGATAAAAGTTGCTTACTCAAGTACTTCCTGAAGAGTGTCTTTTGTTGTACCGTCAAAAAGGTTACATCAACCAAAGTTTCTGATTCACCCCTCCAAGTGCTACTCTTCCCATCTCTCTCTTGCCTTTGTCCTTTCTCCCATCTAAGTACTAACCAAGCCTGATCCTGCTTAGCTTCCGAGATCAGACAAGATCAGGTGCGTTCAAGGTGGTATGGTCATAGAAGCCTTTGTGGTAAAGTGAAACATATTTCCCATCAATTTCTGCCCCCTACTTTTCTTCATAGTTTTCCTTTGCATAAGCTTCTGCCTTAAACTCAATATGAACAATACCTCACTCTTCCCATCCTTGCAGACAAATCTGATCTCATGTTATCTTCAAAAACATCTTATAATTCATTTCCAATGATGGTGAAAGAGAGTTTTTTTTTTAATAAATATGAAATGCTTCAGGAATTTGTGTGTTGTCCTTATGCAGGGGCCATGCTAATCTCCTCAGTATTATTCCATTTTTAGTATATGTGCTGCTGAGATGAACATAAGGGTGTCACTGAGAGCTTTTATCTTTTCTGTTCCTTAGAAAGTGCAAAAGGGAGGAGTATATTTATGTCTTTTAAACAAAGTTAGAGGAGAAAAAAATTACAACTCTCAATTCCTTCTAGACTTCAATGAAGTTAAGCTTAGGTATCAAGGGAAATTACTTAATTACTGTTTTCAGCCAAATTAATATTGGAACTGTTAAATGAACTAGAGTGCTTTATTTTCTATGAATTTGCTAATATTCCATAAACTTTATTAGTCTCACTTGCAGTAAACATTCTACCATGTTTATTAAATTTTTTTCAATAATTTTTAGCACACTTTTTTTTTTAATTAAGAAAAGGGAAACAAAAAGTTTCCGCCTCCTCCCAGCCTCCCATTTCCCTCCCCCTCCTCCCACCCTTCTCCCCCTTCCCCCACTCCTCTCCCCCTTCCTCTCCAGTCCAAAGAGCAGGCAGGGTTCCCTGCCCTGTGGAAAGTCCAAGGTCCTCCTCACTCCGTCCATGTCTAGGAAGGTGAACATCCAAACTGGCTAGGCTCCCACCAAGCCAGAACATGAAGTAGGATCAAAACCCCGTGCCATTGTCCTTGGCTTCTCATCAGCCCTCATTGTTCGCCATGATCAGAGAGTCCGGTTTTATCCCATGCTTTTTCGGTCACAGTCCAGCTGGCCGTGGTGAGCTCCCAGTAGATCAGCCCCACTGTCTCAGTGGGTGGGTGCACCCCTCGTGGTCCTGACATCCTTGTTCATGTTCTCCCTCCTTCCGCTCTTGTGAGAATGCTTTCTTATGAAGGAGTGCAGTTATCTGTAGACATCAATGGGGGGACCAAATAGAATAACTGAAGATCCTGGCTGGGTTTCTTGTACTCTGCAGAGATTCTGTTCCACTCTTGGGCTTCTTGGAACCCAGAAGTTAAAATCTTCAAATATTTCTCCTATGTGGCCCATTGCAACCAAAGCTTTAAACTCAGGAAATCGCACTTATGACTTTGATAGATTTATGAGAACAGCATTATATTTAAGTGAGTTGTGCCTAAGAAACTCATGCCCAAACTTCTTAGTGGACAACCATGAACCTTCCCATAGTGAGTTACACGTTACTCGTACCTGTCTTTCAGCCAGGGTATTTTTCTCTCTTAGTGTTCCTAATGATATGAATGTTATAATGATATTTCAGTTCCCTGAGGTAAACAGCTTGCTCTTTGAAAGAATAGAAATCATGTAACCTTCTAGGTATCTTCTGTAATATTGCAAGGTATTTTCTGTCCAGTTGAGAAAACATATGTTTATTATATCTTGAACAACCTGGGGATTAATATAAAGAAGAAGGGCAAGATTCCTGTCTTTTGAGAAATGGAAATCCATAAGTAAAAGCTTAGTACTTGAGAAATGTGCATATGCAATGGGAAAATTCCATTAGGCCTCACAAATGTAAAAATTTAACAAATTATTGTTCTTAATTTCAAAAAAAAGGATTGTAAGGCACCTTTTAAAGATGTATTGTATAATAATGTCTATTTTCTTTTTTAGAGTGTGAAGATGAATTGTATTTTATATCATATAATCACATAAATTCATGTCTGTGTGAAAACCTATTTCTCTTATTGTTAATAATATGTATTTTTTTCTTTTTTTCTGTGTATCTCTCTCCAGTCACAGAAAAGTTCTCCAGGAAACCATGAGCGCTCCCAAGTTCAGTCAACAAAGGAAGAGACGAGGAGAACCTCTGTGTGTGGTCCTCAAGATGTAAGAATAACCTAAAGTGGTTTGGAAAGGACCCAACATTTGGGAGTGGTAGCTCACACCATCATGAAATGTTCTCTGTTGTGGGGGGAGTCTTTTTTCTAAGCTCTATAGCTTTCCATGTGATGGCATAGGTGTTGCCTAAACAGCATCAGGTAGATACTCTTCTTGATTTTATAGTCAGATTCTGCTGTGCAACCCGTGGTGCCGCACCAAACCCACATCATTCTTACAACAAAAAGATAGACAGCAATCACAGCATTAAAGCAGAACAAGGAAGCAAACAAAAAGATTCCATAGTATTCACCACCTAAGAAAAGCTAATGTGCTCTTATAGAACAAGATATCAGACAAAGAGAGATCCTCCACTTTCATATGATAAACAGATAGGAAACTGAACTGTTGGAGGATGGTGAAGGGAAGAGGGATCCCTCTTAATAAATGCAATAAAAAATAAAACATCAACCCTTGAATTCTGTTAGGATGAAGGTTTTAGATTTATTGTGATGGCTCTAACAAATAATATTTTTGTTAACCAGATTCAGATACAGGCTCTAATCCAAATAGAAATTATATATTGAGACTACACATGGCTGAAGGAAATTAGTCAATATTTAAAGTAAATAAGTAAGATGGAAAACCAAATAAATTGGTACTTGTATTTCTTTTCTGCTAGATCCCAACATGCATTTTTTGGGAAAAAAAAAAAAAAAAAAACATCAGGTTGTAACTATGACTCAGTGATTAAAAGCACCGACTGCTCTTCCAGTCAACCTGGGTTCTATTTCAGTACCCTCTTGGCAGCTTACAACTGTCTGTGACTCCAGTTCCAGGGGACTTAAGACCCATGGCAAAACACTGATGCACATGATATAAAAAAAAAAAATAAGTAAATTTAAAAAGTTTTTTTTCAAAATGTTTGCTACTGTATCTTTGTTTATAGAAACATATATCTAAACTATAGAATTTAGGATATGAAGCTGATCAGGAGTGGAAATCAACAGTCTGCAATTGACTTCCCTAGAGTCCAGAAGACGATGTGTCGGAAAGGATGCCTTTGCAGTGGTCTGGAGTAAGGGTAGATCTTAGCCCATCAGAGGGAATTTTCACAAACAGAAAATATGCCAGAGCACTGTGGATGCAGTATAGACCACAGCAAGTGGTGGGAAACTCACCCATAAGTTAATCAGGAACCACAAAGTAAGGACTTGGATTCCCTCATTGGAGAGTTTAGTTTCAATTATACAATGTTTTCACATGTTTGTCAACTGATAAACTAGACAAGTATCATTTGTAGGAAGGTATTTATCTTTTATATGACAAGTTCAAAAGCTCTGCTTTGTTCATTGATTTTCTGAGCATCATTTTGGCTTATCTTCTTACAAAAAGTTGGACCTGTCAAAATTGTGGCTGTGTTTGTGTGCGTGTCTCTGTGCGTGTGTTATTATCCCCTTCCTACTACTGGATTTCTCTTTCATAAGCTTCTCTCCCTTTGGCAGTTCCTATCACCATGTCCTTTTCTGGCACTGTCTTCACTGGTACAAACGTGAATACTGTCTCCAGCCTACTTCAGTAGCCTTATGTTGAGGGAGGGCTCACTTGTTTGCCCCCTCCCCCCCGGCTGCTCAGTCCCAAAATAACCACACAGAAACTGTATTCATTAAACCACTGCTTGGCCAATTAGCTTTACCTTCTAATAATTGGCTAACTCTTATATCTTAATTTAACCTGTTTCTATTAATCTATGTATCACCACGTGGCTGTGGCTAATGTTTCGGCATGTCTTACTCTGGCAGCATCTCTCTGACTCTGCCTTTCTTTTTCCCAGCATTCAGTCCAGTCCCTTCTCCTACCTAATTTCTGCCCTATCAATGGGCCAATGCAGTTTCTTTGTTCATTAATGTTAATCACAGCACACAGAGGGGACTCCCACATCCGCCTTACTTTAGTACACATTGGTGTTTGGTGTCTCAACCTTCCAGAAGCTGTAATTCCTACTCTAGAGAGTGCTCAGTCAGAGCTACAAACCCAGAGAAAATGTAAACTAGGCAAATGCTTCAGGTATTAAAAAGTGGTACTGTGTGATTATCCATTTTCAAGTTTTGGATCAGAGGTTCTAATCTGTGACTTCAGAATGCATCACTTAGAGAACACTTAGAAAGATGGTTGCACAGGACTGAGCAGAAATGTTACCTCAGCGTTTCCACTGTGGGATCTGCACAACTGATGTGTTCATTTCATATACTTCAGGAATTCTGTGCTTTTTACAGTGGCTTTCAATAGAAATAATTACAAAATTATCTGGGGACATTAGTCACATTTTGAACAACTACTTGGAGTATTCTAAATCAATAAAGCTGGGGGATTTTGTAAAAGCTTTCGTTGTGCCTGATGACTGTTATGTAGGAAGCTTAGCAATTACTGAGATCAATGTAATCTTATTGGAGCCTCACAGTCCTTAATTACATGCCTTAATTACATGCATCCAGCTACGTATATGTGTGCATGCTCATTCATATACACTATATTAAATTATCATATAATAAATGTCAAATTCTGGAAATAGATTCCTGAACTCATTATCAAGTTCATATAAAATGTACCACCACTACTACAGGAGCTTACAGAGGAATTACCATTATAGTATCTAACTAGAACAATAGAAGAAAAAGATAACTTGTTATTGGAAATACCGTGGAGCTACGCTTTTTCTCAACCATTGTTCTTTAAACTGTATTCCATGAGCTACGCCTATTTAGTGTCCTCTGTGTTGAGTGTAATCCGGTCACCCAGATGCAAAGCCTGGGTACCGTTTACCATAGCACTGAGGTTTACTCCTTTCCACATGCTCACATGTGGGGACGCTACATTTCTGATGCTTTCCCATTAGCCAAATGAGTATTGGAGGACCACTGCACCCACGGGAATTATTCTCCAGTACAACTGCCTAAATTCATAGTAACAGCACCCTACCTGGGTAAGCACTGTGAAAATGTTACAGTCATTACAGTCTAGCAATGTGAAAATACTTTCAGCATCATTGTACATTCAGATAGAGTCAAGCTCCTCTCCTGTTTCTTTCATAGAATATATAAACTGACAGAAAAGAGAATTTAATTTAAATGATTACTTTAAAAAACATAAGAATTACTTTGTTTCCTTGTATTCCAACATTTAGGCTTTCAATTCCTGATGAGCCTTCTCTTTTATTCTTTATTTGGTTATTCAGTCAAGTATCATAAATGTCACATTTTTT